AAATACATGCCCCAAAAGCTGAGGTTTAACAATCTCAAACTTAGCATGTTAGCCAAACAGAACTGGCAGAACTGATGTTCTAAATTAGAAGGTGGGGAACTATGGGCCTTTTATGACTTGTGGACTTCAACCCCCAAACTCCTGTTTGGCTCAGGAATTCTGGGAGTTGAAGTCCAGATGTCATAAAGGGCTACCGCTGTTCTGAATAAATAAATATAATTACCCATGGGATCCTTTTTTTGTCCTGCCGAAGTTGGGCGGGGAAGATAGCAATAGTAACAAGCAACAAGCTTGTTACTTGTTATTATATACCGCTTCATAGGGCTTTCAGCCCTCTCTAAGCAGTTTACAGAGTCAGCATATCGCCCCCAACAACAATCCCACCTCGGAAGGATGGAAGGCTGAGTCAACCTTGAGCCTAGTGGGATTTGAACAGCCGAACTGCAGTCAGCTGAAGTAGCCTGCAGTGCTGCATTTAACCACTGCGCCACCTCGGCTCTCTATATTTGCAGTGTATTAACAGGCTTTTTTAAAAAAAGTAAACTACTACCACAACCAGTAACATGATACTAATGCAAAATAAAGATGTATAAGAAGAAATGCAACTCACGTTAATGCATCGGAATAATTATAATGAGGAGCAACGCTCAGAAACTTCTGAACTCCATCCATGGTGGCTGCTGGATCACTTCTTAATTGCTGTCCATCAATAATTAACAACTGTAGAGATAGCACTAATTGTTTATTTAAATATAAAACTCAAAGGACTTATGAAATTGCAGCATGATTTATGCATTTAGAAAAAAGTTGGGATTCTCTCATTTTCCTTGGCATAGCAAGACAAACACATCTGTTGTGATTCATTAGGATTGCTTTGGATGACTTTGTCTAATTTGGTTTTTCCCATGCCATTAATTGAGCACAATCATAGTGATCAAGATGGAGTAGGAGTACCACTGGTCATTGTGCTTCATTTCTTAAATAGGTAAAGGTAAAAGTTGCCCTCACACTTATGTGCTAGTTGTTCCTCACTCTAGGTGCTCATGCCTGTTTCAAAGCTGAAGGGCCAGTGCTGCCCGAAAACGTCTCTGTGGTCATGTGGCTGGCATGACTAAACACCAAGGGGCATGGAATGCTGTTACTTTTCCACCAAAGGTGGTCCCTATTTTTCTACTTGCATTTTACCTACTTTCGAACTGCTAGGTTGGCAGAAGCTGGGACAAGTAATGGGAGCTCACTCTATTATGCAGAGCTAGGGATTCAAACTGCCGAACTACCGACTTTTCTGATCAACAAGTTCTTAGCCAATGAGCCACCGTGTCCCATTTCTTAAATACCAGGAAGATAATTCCATGTTCTAACTTTAAAAGAAGGACCAAATAGGTCAATCTTAAGATAGTCGCTGACACCAAGTTGCAATAGGAAAACATTTGCATTTATTAACCTTCCTTGAAAAAGGAAGGTACGCCTAATGGCATAGACTTAAACTAAGAACATTAAAATTTCTTGCTCTGAGAATTAAAACTTCTGAAATAAATAGAATTTCCCAAATAAGTCCAGAAATAGTACACTGAACTTTTGAATATGCCTTTAAAAATAAATACATAAAATAATTCTTATTTAAACCATGAGACATGACGTATACTCTAGACAGCTCTGGATAAAGCCAATTTCAGATTTGTTCCACATAGTTTGTGAAATAATTTCAGTAAATGGAATCAGAAATAGAATCAGTGATAGATGAAGCAGATACTGACAACTTAGCCTGAGCTCAGAAGCAGAACTGGGAAGGTTGATTATCCAATTGCTTTAGGGATTTCAGTCTGAAAAGTCACTTTGCTGATTGAAAGCAGTGATAAAATTATGAGTTCTAGCGGTAATCAATAAGACTTTCCTCTTAAAATCCCTGAAGTCAATTGCCCACACTTCAAAATTTCTCAGTTAAAATTGTATTATAAAAATTAAGCTTGTCATAAGTAGAGAGTGAAGGCTTTTATGCCAGTTGAAGTTAGGTCTGTCTGAATGGCTATCAGTTTGTACATGTTTGCTGTACAAAAAGGGCAGTAGATATGAACAGGTGGGCATGCGCGCACGCGCGCACGCACACAAACACACAATATAATCTAGATTCCTTTACTTTTGTGACAAAGTTTAAGCAAGTTTATTATAGGAAATGAAATAAGTCTAAAATTAGCCAGCCAACTGATCTGGCTCCTGACATGAGAAAGTGACAACTGTGCAGATCTTTACTTGAGTTCATGTACCACAAATGGAAGATCAAGGATCAGCCTTAAAGAAACCAGATAGAACATAATTTTAACATAAAAATAGTTTGTCGTGAAAGCAACTGCCTGTGAAGTCTCCTGGATTGGTGCTGAAAGATGAAAATAGAAGCAGTATGCTCCATCCGATAATTGGGTAGACCAGGCTGCCCTGATAAAAACCACTTAAACGAGATAGAATCTTGTTGTGGCCCAGCAGGAGCCGTTGGAGCTGCCACCAGACTCCGACAGCGAGGGGCCCTATGAGTTGGCTCTGGAGGATGTGGAGGACCCTGGACAGGGTTCCGACTCTGAGTACGGCGCAGAGAGGCTGGTTGGCCACAGGAGGCGCCTGAGCCTTGGACCAGTGGGTAGGAGACAAGGGAGAGTGATCCAGAAGCCAGCAGTGAGTTGTTCCGGGATGCCAGCTAATAGGCGTCAGGAACAGTTGCGCATTTACAGGAGGTAATTGCACTCAGCTGGTGGTCATTAGACTCTTCTCCAGACTATAAAAAGACTACTTGTGCACACGCCCCTCTTTGCAGAAGTCAACGCATTGACTAAAAGTTGGAAAACTTTTGTAACT